GTGTGTGTGTGTGTGTGTGTGGCCAGCTCAGTCCACCAGGGGGCGGGGCTGGCTGGCATGTGGTGCTGGGGGACCGAACCGTGGTCCCTGATGCCTTGCCAAGCTTGTTCTAAGTAGGTGCCTTAGACCACTGAGCCATCTCTCCAGCCCCTGGCCCTGAAATTTCTTAATACATCTTTTTTTTTTTTTTTTAAAGTGCATATTTCATTTCTCTGGGTTAGAGAAAGGTCTCTTTTGTGCTTTGGGGGAACATGTCATTCAGGGTAACTTGAATCTGTGTTCCTCGGCCATGGTCATTCATATTCCGCTCAAAATACACTATTTTCTTAAGTCCTTTACAGAAAGAAGAATATTATTCTGTATGGGAGAGATGGCTGCCGAAATCCAGGTTTGAGGGACTCAGGGCCAAGCCGCCGCAGGGGCCGGGCTGGTGGGCGTGGAACTCTATTTACTCGGGGAGCTAGAGGCTAAAGTCCAGAGTGGGTGGGGAGAGGCGCAGGACCGCCCTCCTCGGTGGCTTTGATCCGAGCTCCTGCCCTTTGAGTGCAGGCCCGCGCTGGGGACCAGGGAAAGCGATGCTGTGGTTGCTGGCGACCTGGGGTGCGAGGCTCCGCGTGGGCGCTGGACTCCGCGTGCGCCACCGACCTGCTACAGGGCTCAGCCGCCAGGCCTCTGACCTCCCCCGGAACCAGCCTCCTAGCCCCGATGTGGTGGCCCGGCCAGTGGGTATCAGCTCCATGATGCGCCTGCCTGTGCAGGCCTCTCCCGAGGGGCTGGACGCCGCCTTTGTCGGGGTGCCCCTGGACATCGGCACCTCCAACCGGCCCGGCGCCAGGTAGGGCCGGGAGGCTTGGGCTGGTGACACGCGGCCAGCCTGATGGCCGTGGGTTGGGGAGGACCCGTCTTCAGAGGAGCGCCCATCTCCCGCTCATTTAGGGTCGGGCCAGCCTTCTCCAGGCCTTGATCCTAGGCCTTGCGGGGGTGGTAGCTGTGGGCCCCAGACTCCCGCATCCCATCTTGCGGTGGCAGGGGACACTGCATGTGAGAAGAGATGCTGGCAGTTGCCCCTTCCCCAAACCTCTGGCTATCACCTGACTCAAGAAATGCTCAACCTGCCCAGGCTTGGTGGCAGATCACAGAGGATGAGGCAAAAAGATCACAGGGAGGTCAAGGGTAGCCTGGGCCACAGAGGGGCTCAGGCCTGAACAGCTATATTAACCACTCCCCTGCTGCGCTCAAATTAAGGACCCTTTCCTTTTTTTTTTTTTTGGTAGTACTGGGGATTGAACGCAGGTTGCTAGGGTTGCCAGGCAAGCACTTATTCTCCTGAGCTATCTCCCTGGCCCCAAGGACCCTTTCCTGACATCAAGTCAGAGGAACTTTTTTTTTTTTTTAAATCTTTATTTATTTGGTACAGGGCCTCACTACATAGCTCAGACCCACAGTGATCCTCCTGTCTCAACCTCTCCAGTGCTG